TGAGCTGAGCGCGGGGCCGAGCATGTTCCGGCGTCTCCGCCGCCCGTGGGCACAGGAGGTGGCGCCCAAGGGGCTCCCGGGCGACCGCGAGCTCCGACGGAGGGAGCCGCGGATGGCCCAGCCGGGCCCGCCCACCCCCCCCGGGAGCCCCTCGCGGTCCCTGCCCGCCCTGCCCACGGTGACAGGGAGAGCAAAGCAGAGCCGCTCGGTGCTCAAGTCCCTGCTGCTGCCGCCCCTGTGCCCCACCCGCACGCCTCGGGGGTCGGCGCGCCGGTGCCCCGGCCTCGCAGAGTGCGAGGTTCCCCCGGGGGGCTCGGGCAAGGAGGCCCCGGACTTCCTGGGCGCCCTCCTAGGAGAGCTCCTCCCCAGCAGGTTCAGGGAGTTCCTGCAGCAGCTCCAGGAGAAGTGCCTAGAACCGCCGGAGCCACAGCGTGAGGCCCCTCCTGGGCCCCGAGGGGGCGGGGCGGGGCGCAGTCGTTTCCGGTGAGGGTCCCCGAGTTTCCGCCCTTCTCACCCTGAGGCCCAGAAGATGCCCAGGGAGGCGAGGGGCTCCTGGAGTCCTCAGAACAGCCCGCGCAGGCGGTCTCCCATTGCCCAAGGTCACATAGCCAGGAAGAGCCGGGAAGGGATGTCCCCCCACCCCAGGCTCACTCTGGTCCCCCCACCTCCCCTGGCTCCCAGCGTCCTCAGCACCGCGTCATCCCAGGGGTGCGTCCCAGCACTGCCGAGGTTCCTCTCAGTGTTCCAGCTGCTCCCTCTTCCCAGACCTGCGGTAAGTGCCAGCCGCCCTGTTGGTGGGGACACGATCACCTGGCTGTGTCCAGGGTGGGGGACCCTCATGCCAGCTGTGGCCTATTTGTCATCAAGGAGCCAGCCATGGTACCTCCAGGATAGTGTTAAGACGATTCTGCTCCATCAGATACCTGCCCTGGGGTCTCTGAGAGGTGACCACTCAAGATTAGCCGTGGTCAGGAAGGCCATCGTGAGTTCTGGGAGAGAGACGGGGTAGGGAAGAGGGACTTCTTTCCTGCCTCCCATGAATTTATCCATTTCTGCACCTGTCCACCCATCCGTATGTCCACACATGAATCAGGTATTCGACTCATCTGTGAATTCATCCATCCATTAATCAGGCCTTCTGCCAATCACATTCACAAGTCGTCCGGGAATCCATTATATTTTCATTCTCCCATCCACCTTCCCTCCTTTGATCCCTGGACCAGGTCTTCCACAACTTTCTCAAGAACCTCTTCACCTGTTATGAACCGTGACTCCATCCATCTAATCACACCCGTCTACCCATGAATCGGGTCTCCTGGTTGATCCATCCATCCACACAAATCCCACAGTTCTGCCTGTTACCTGTCCATCTGTGAATGCAACGATCCGGAGATGGGGTGAATGCCAGGGATCAGGGGTTCATTTTGACTCACAGTTCTGGCTGCTGGAAAGCGCAAAGGCACAGACCTGGCGTCAGGTCAGCCTAGAACATGGCCATGGGAACACGCAGGGTGGCGTGTGATGGCAGTCACGTGCAGAGACAGACAGAGAGCTTCCGACAACCCTCCCATTTCTAACAGCCAGCTCTCGTGAGACCTGTCTCCTCCCATGAGAGCCAGACCTCACTGGGTCTCCCCAGGCGTCATTCACCTGTTCAGGACACTGTTGCCTCCAAGGCAGTCACTGTGGTCCAGGCCCTGGCCACTACATCCAATTCCAAAACAGGAACTTTGGGGGACAAACCATCATCCACACCATGACATTCCACCCACCGTTCATGTTTTCCTCACATAGAAAATGCGGTGGTCCCATTTCAATAGTCCCCGAAGTCTTCACGGCCCCGCCTCCCTGAAGACCCCGCCTCCCTGGCCCTGCTGGGCGCAGTCGTGCTCCCGCTTCCTCCGGTTGGAGTGTCGAAGTCCGCAGTTCTTTTGGGCTGCCGCTGAGCGCAGGTTGCTCCATGGCAGTGGCTTACGGGGTGGTGCTGCCCCACAGCAGCACTGGGCACAACCCTCCTGGAGGGCACTGTCTGCTTGGAGCTCACAGTTCTGCTTGGCTTTGCTCTACTGGAAGCGCTCTGCAACAGCTTTGTCCTGTGGTGGGTCTCTGCAGGAACTCCCAGGCTTTTTTTTTTTTTGAGAGAGATTTTTGCTATAGGGTGTGTGTGCTTGCTAGAGAGACAGACACAGAAAGTAAGAAATCACCCCCTGGTGGGATGGCCACACCGCAATTCCTTCTCCTCCAAGGATTTTGGGCACTCACATACATGTGCCCGGTGTGAGTTTAAGCCACCAGGTCTAGGACTTGAACCACAATCAACTACATTGGAGTCCAACGACATAACCATTACACCATCTGCTGGTCCCACTCTCAATCTTTTTGATGGATTTTTTTTTAAGGTTTTTGCCACAGGGCATGTGTGCTCACTGGAGAGAGAGAGAGAGACAGTGAGAAAGTGAAAAATCACCCCCAGAGAGATGGCCACACCACATTCTGTCTCTTCCATTCTCTTCCTGGAATTCTGGGCACACACGCACATGGGCCTGGCATGACCCTCAAACTGTCAGGTCCAGGACTTGAACTATAGTCATCCATGTGGGAGTCAAGTACCCTAACCACCATACCGCCTGCTAGCCCCTGATGTGTTCTTTATAATCTAGGTGGAGACGGCCTTGCCCTCATGCTCTTGCACTCTGCACTTCTTAGAGTAAGTACCAGGTGGAGCCTGTGTGGATGCCACGTATAGTCCTGCTGCTGCCACTGCCCGGGGCTGAGGCCTGTGCCCTCTGGATCAGCAGCCACACAGGGGCTGCTTAAGTCATGACTGGGCAGCTCCGGGCTATGGGGGACAGCGTGCCCACCCGGGGCTGTTTCCTGAAAACAAGTTTTTGTTTTTGTTTTTTTTGTGAGAGGTTTTTGCTATAGGGCACGTGCACATGCCAGGAGGACAGAGAGAGAGAGACAGCGAGAAATCACCCCCCAGGGGGGGATGGCCATGCCACAATCCCTTCTCCTCCATTCTCCTCTTGGGATCTTGGGCATGCACGCACAGGCGCCTGGCGTGAGTTTAAGCCACCAGGTCTGGAACTTGAACTGTGGTCGACTACGTGGGAGTCCAGCGACATAGCCATTACGCTAACTGCTGGTCCTCCTGGAAACCATTTTGCTCTCAGGCCTCTGAGCTCTGATGGACAGGGCAGCCCTGAAGATCTCTGACATACCCTAGGGGCACCTCTCCCACTCGCCTGTGTATTAGCATTTTGATATGTTCTATTGGCACTAATCTCCTTAGCAACCAGTCTCTAGGCCACACTTTCCTCTGCCAAACATGATTTTTCATTCTTTGCCGCATGGCGAGGCTGCAGACTTCCCACATTCTTCCCCTCTGCCTTCCTTCTCACAGTAAGTTCTATCTTTAAATCATTCCGCTGTGCTCTCATTTCGCTAAATGCAGTTAACGACCACCATGCCGTTCCTTCTATATTTTGCTTCGAAATCTCCTTTGCCAGGTCTTCAACACTCTTTAATTTAAACTTTTCAGAACTCTTAGGACATAAACACTTTGCAGCTAAGTTCTTTGCTAGGTGTAACTTGGATGACCTTTCCTTCAATTTCCAATCAAATCTTCCTCGTTTTGTCTGCAGTCTTCTCAGAGCAGCCTGTCCTGTCCGTGTTACTGTCGGTATTCTGGTCACCCCCACTTAACCTGTCTCTAAAAAGTTCCAGCTCTTTCTTTTCTTTCTAATTTGCCAGGGGATATGTGTGCTCGCCAGAGAGAGACAGATATGGCGGGGTGAGAAAGCACTTCTCGGGGAGATGACCGTCCCACAATCCCTTCTCTGCATTTCTCCCTTTGGGATTTTAGGCACAGATGCACACGCATGTGGCATGTTTTTCAAGCCACCAGATCTGGGGCTCGAACTGCAGTTGGCTATGTGGGATCCAGCCACTTTAACACCCTCCAGTTCATTTTTAAACTGTCCTGGGCTTCCACCAGAATTCAGGCTTTTCCCTAGCCTTCTCCAGCCCCCGCCCCCCCCAAGTTTAAAGCTGTTTCCACATTCTCTGATATCTGTAGCGATGCACTTCCATTTGACTGGCCAATTTCCGTCTGAGTCCACTTGTGTTGCTAACAGAAATACCGGAGTCATGATGGATTCAAAAGAACGGGTTTATGTCACAATTCTGGTGGCTGGGAAGTCCGAACGTGTAGGCTTGATATTGGCCAACCTAGAACATGGCTGATGGAAGCAAAGAGGATGGCAGGTATACACACACATGTGTGTGTGTGTGTGTATGTGTGGATGGATGTGTTTGTGTGTATTATGTGTGTACGTGTATGTTATGTATTTGTATATACATGTATATGTGTGTACATGTATATATGTGTGTGTGTATTTATAGAGAGCGAGCTGACATCTCTGACATAACAATCAGCTCTCATGAAAACCAACGTGTGTGTATACATGTCTATGTGTGTGTGTACGTGTATAGATGTGCATATATGTGTGTGTGTGTATAGAGAGAGAGCGAGCGAGCGGACATCTCTGACACTTATAACGACCAGCTCTCATGAAAACCAACCCCCTCCCCAGGCCTGGAAGTCCTGGGTCTCCCAGATGCCATCTGTCTGTGAGACTGTAGTCCCTGTGAGGCAACTGTGGTGATCCAGTCTCCACCAGCTAGGCCTCGCCACCTCCCAACGTCAAATTCCAGAGCATGGAACTTGGGGGACGAGCCATCATCCAGACCGTAAATCCCACTGTAGGCCCCAAGTTTCTACCTCTCATCTACTCACGAGCCATCCACAAATCTGCATCGCCACCGACACAAGCAGCCATCCACCCCACCCCGCGTGGCTCAGGCCTTCTGTTCGCCCTCTCACTGCTCATTCGTCAGTCAACTGACAGCCCGTCAGCCAGTCTTCCCTCCTTTCAACCACCCCACCACCGTTCATCCCTTTCTCTCTTTCTTTCTTTTATTATTTTTTTTTAAATTTGCTATAGTGACTATGTGCTCACTAGAGAGAGAGCATGGCCCAGGAAGGACGGTCACGCTGCAGTCCCTTCTCTTCTCTTGGACTCTTAGCTATGCATGCACGTGCACCCAGTATGTTTTTCAAGCCAGTGGGTCTAGGACGTGAACTGTGCAGCCGGCCATGTGGATCCAGCTGTCTTAACCACCATGTGTATGTGTGTACGTGCACATACGGCCAATCCATTTCTCCCTCTAACATATTAGATCCGGGTCTATAGCAGCTGTGGGGGAAATAAACCAAGGATGGCAGTAAGAGAAGAGGTGGGCACTGGCGTGTACCCAGGCTTGGATGCCATAGCTCTAATGGCTGGGGAGAAAAGGCAGAAAAGAGCCTGCTGGCTCAAACAGGCTTAAGCAGGGGTGAAGGGTGATGAGCACTGCCCATGCATCTAAAGACCAGGGAGAATAAATACATAGCGTATGCACGGTGCCTTCTCTTCCGGTACCCAAGGTAGACAGTACTAATGGATCCCAGCACATTTCTGCACGGAGCCTCAACCTCCCTGGCACAGTGCTCAAGGAGATAACACCGATGCAGCAGAGAAGGAGTCAGGATGAAACACGGGAACCAGCTCAGGCACGCTAAGCCAGCCACACATACGACTTCTGACAAGATAAAGAAAGATATGGAATTCGTTCTCTCGAGCGTGAGCAATCGCAGGGACAGGCACACCCGCGGACCTTACTCCCTGCACCTTACTGTGTGAGGGTCCCTGGTGGGTCCTGCGGGGGACCAGGGCGTCTGAGAACAGGCTGCAGAGAAGCTGAGGTTTCAGACCTCTGGGCATAGCTGGGGCACCTCTGCGTGGCCCTGTGGCCACAGAGCAGGCACCCATAAGCAGATCATGCTGGGTGACTAGACACAGTTCCCTTAGCCAGACACCATCCTCGCCGCTGCTGGTGGCAGGGATCCTGGGTGGGCTGTGGAGGGCCTCCGCCCTTGTACCCGCACAGACAGGTGGACACAGACATGTAGACATGCATGTACTGACGGCTGAACAAGACACTTCTGAGTAACGGAGCCATAGGTGGGCTAGGCTGGCCCTGCAGCCTTGCCCTTGAGACTGGAATTAAGAGCAATCAATGTGGGGCCGGCAGATGGCTTAGAGGTTACGTCGCTGGATTCCCACAGGGCTGACTGCAGTTCTAGTCCCAGACCCAGAGACCTCAGAATCATACTGGGCACGTGTGCATGCATGTCCAAGATCCTGGAAAAAGAGTGGAGGAGACGGGATTGTGATGTGGCCGTCCCCCCAGGGGGTGATTTCTTGCTTTCTGTCTCTATGTCTCTGTCTCTCCAGCGAGTGCACATACCCTATAGCAAAAAACTTCCTTAAAAAAAAAAAAGAACAATCGGTGTTGGGTCAGCACATAACCTGGTTGTTGGGGGAAGTGGATCCACATGTCTGACTGCACAGTTCGAATCCCAGACCTAGCCACTTGAAAAACACACTGGGCACACGTGCATGCCCAAAATCCCAAGGGGAGGGAAAACGGAGAAGGGATTGCTTGCGGCAGGCCACTCCCAGGGGAGGTGCTTCTCCCTTGCCATCTCCCTCCCTCTCTCTCTCTGTGGTCACTGCGCATGCCCTCTGGCAAATTAAACAAATGAAAAGGTAGATCCATGTAACACTGTGTAAATAAATAAACCCCTGTGCCCTTCACTGAGCCAAATGCTGTCCAGGCCCTGGGCTAGATGCCCTCCCCTAAGCTACTCAGTACCACCGAATCAGGAATCAGGAATCAGGAATCACGGGTGGTGTCTTCATGCCCCTAAGGTAGCACTTAAGGGAGAAGACTGCAAGTGGAGACCTGAGGGCAGTCTGCCCGAGGCCATGCGACTGTGGTGGGACCGGGACCAGTGAGCTTGATGACTCATTATTATTTGTTAAACCTCCCAGAAGGCGCCTGTACTCACCAGAGAGAAGGAGGGAGAAAGCAGAGCTCTGGGGCTTGGTCAAGCCTCAGTCAGTCCCGCCTTTGTTTTTCCAACCTGTTGGGATTTGGAGCACATGTGCCTGGCATGGTTTATCTTGTGTTTTTTTTTGTTTTTTTTTAGTTTTTGCCATAGGGTGTATGCACTTACCAGAGAGAGACAGAGATAGAGACAGAGAGAGGGAAAGTGAGAAATCATTCTTCGGGGTGGGGGGGGCATAATTATCAAGCCACTGGGTCTGGGACTTGAACCCTCGAGTCAGCTATGAGGATCCAGTCCTTTAACCACCACTCCACCTGGTGGTCCCTCTTTTTTTATGTATGTAAGACAGATTTTTGCTATAGGGCACGTGCGCTTGCCAGAGAGATAGACAGAAAGCGAGAAAACACCCCCAGGACAGCGACTCCACAACGCCTTGCCCGTTCTCTCAGGATTTTAGGTACACGCGCACATTCGTCTGCCATGTTTTAAGCCACCAAGTCTGGGACTCGAACTGCAGTTGGCCATGTGGGAATCCAGCACCTTAACCACTACACCACTGCTAGCCTCATCTGGCACGTTTTTCAGATCATGGAGGTCAGGCTTCAAGCCACGTGGCTGGCCATGTGGGATCCAGCTCCGTGACCCACAGGCCACTGGGCGGCCTGAGATTGATGCTTAATATACAGAGCAGCTCCCAGTTACAGGGCTTTACTCGGCCCTGCAGCCCCCGCTGTCTCTTCCCAGCCCTGCCTGGTGGGCACGGCGTAACCCCCATTTATAGGTAGAGGAACAGGCTCGGACAAGCCGGGACTGCCTGATCCCCAGGCTCACGCTCTGACTCTCTGCTGCGTGGCTTGGTATATGAGTGCTGGGGCAAATCTTGGCCCCACGCCTCCCCGCTGTGTGGCCCTGGACAGGTCGCAAAGGTCTCTCCACCTCGGTTTCCTCATCAGTGGCTGGTGAGGGGTGCACATTATGTACTGACGCCTTGCATGGTGGAGGATAGGCCAGCTGTCAGACTGGCGCTGTCCCGTGGCCCATCCTACAGACAAGATGAGGCGGTTTGTCCAGACTCCCACTGTGCGTCCCGGCCTGGTGGAGGAGTACTGTCGGGTGGAGTATGGCTTCAGGCCCATGCGCTGGCCCTCCCCAGCCCGCGGGCCCCCTAAACTCAAGGCTGTGCTCATCCGCAGCTCCTCGGGGGAAGGCTCAGGGCCCCGCCGGCGGTGCTGCCCTTTCAGGGTGCGATTCGCAGACGAGACCCTCCGGGACACTGCACTCCGCTACTGGGAGCGCAGCTGTGCAGGTGAGCAGATGGCCGGGGAGCCCTGGGACTCCAGAGGGCTCCAGCCTGGAGTGGGGGGGCTACGGCCCTGGGCCTCTGCAGTGAAGGCCTCATGGTGGGAGATAGCACCGACGCTGCAGAGCAAGTTCCCGAACGGGCTCTCTGGAGGATGTCAGGGTGACCTTCAAGGTCCAAGTGGAGGGCTTGAGACCCTGCAGACATGTCTCAAGGTGGGTGACACCAGGAAACAGTGGCCCCTAGGTCTGGCTCTACCAATGGACTTCTTGCTGCCGCAGGGTGCCTCCACCTTGAAACTGACACCATGGCTTCCATCCCCATGTTGACACCTCTCACCCTGCCCCCAAGGCCTGCAGGGACTGGAAGAGGGCCAGAAGCCACCGGAAGTACCTTCCTCCCATGTCCATGAAGGCAGACCTCAGGGTGAGGCTGAGAAGTGCCCAGGAAGGCCCTTTCTCCCCTGGGGACAGCGGCACTGCCTGGTTCAGCGAAATGCCTCGGAACCACCAGGCCTGGGCGCCCAGGGTGAAGTCTGCTCTCAGCTCTTGGGGATGGAGGAAACAGGTCCATTTGGCAGCTTCCAGCGAATCTTCTGAAGTGGGTGGCAAGAGGTGGGCATGTCCTTGCCATGCCATGACCTCTGACAGGTGCCACCTCTGTCTGAGTGCCCAACCTCTTCTCTCGGGGTCCAGCCAGGCCTCCAACACTTGGCACTCTGCAGCTTTTTTTTTTTTTTTAATAATTTTTATTAAATAATTATTTAACAATTATTTTATTTTATTTTTTTAGTCCATTTTCCAATTTGACCAGAGAGGGAGAGAGCACAAGAGAGAAAGTGTGAAAGCAAACCACCAGGTCTAGGACTTGAACCACCGTCAGCCAGGTCCAGCACTCTTAACCACACCACCTGCCAGTCCCAGGCACCCTGCAGCTTTTAATGAACACGTACTACACGGGGCTCCAGGTGTGGCGGCCCAGCGGCCTGCTGCGCATCCGTGGCCTTGGCCATCAGGAGGGGCCCTGCCCAGGCCCTGGGGCTTAGAGGCACAGGCAGCTGGAGGCAGAAACAGGCCTTTGCTCAACTCCTGATGGTTCAATGGGGAAGCCAAGGCCCCCAGAGCAGAAGGGCTTGTGCAGACGGCGCGGAAGCCATGGTGACTGGCCACAGACAGCCAGGAGGAGCCCAGGAGACGCAATTGCATGTGAACGGCAGAAGGGAGTGGCTTCCTGGGTGGTGCTGGCCAAGAGGACCTGCGGCCACACCCAGGGCACCAGGGCACCCAGGAGACGTGGGACCCTGCCTGCTGCCTCCTGGCCCTGTCCGTCGGCCGCGGGTAGGGGCATCTGGGGTCCCCGACCAACCGCAGGAAAGGCTCTCTCCCAGCATTCTCTTGGAATCTCACGGTGGAGCGGCCGTCCTCTCCACTGTAGGAAAGGGGGCCCTTTTGGGCTGGGGCAGGAGTGGGGGCGCAGCTCAGGCAGTAGGGGCAGAAACAGTCATGCGGGGTAATTTCAAACCCTAGCCTTCTCTGGAGGCAGCCAGAAGGCTCTGGGGAGCCTGGGGTTGCCATGGAGACAGGCTCTGCTGGCCTTGCCAGCCAGAGGGAGGAGGAGAGGGTGGGGGCACCGTGCCCCTCCAGCAGGGAACTCACCCGTGCCCTCTCCCTTCTAGTCCGGCAGAACATCCTTGAGGACCAGACTACCAGCCAGCCCACGGTGTCAGAGCGCGTGTGCGGGAGCTTCGGGAGATGGCTGGAGAGCTTGCCTGGAGCCCCAAACCTCAGGACCAAGGAGGCTGTGGCCGACCCCTCCTGCTGGGACAGCCCTCACTTGTGAGCTTCTCGGGAGTAGGTGGGACTCAGGAGACCCCAGGGCTCCTCCCTCCTTGCCCTACAAACTCCCCCCAGTCCAGCCATGGCTGGGCTGCTGGCCCTAGTCCTCAAGGGCTTGGCTGGCCATGGTGGGCCTATGGCTTGGGCCCAGAAGCTCACGGGGGCCTGTCTCCCTCAGGCCCACACGGAGGCTGCAGGACCTCCTTTCTGAGGGTGCTCTGCGAACAGCAGCCTGCCCTTCTTCCCTGGGGCCACCACCCCAAGGCAGCCGGGGGGACCTCCGGACCTTCCTGGACATCCACAGCCTCCTGGAGTCCCGCTCCTGGGGCCAGAAGCTGGTGAGCACCTGCCAGCAGGAGGCTGCCTGGAGCAGCCCTGTGGGCAGGTAGTGGTGAGGGCTTGCAGGACACCTCCCCTCCCTGCTCAGTGACCCTGGGGGCTGCTGCAGCCAGGCCTAGGGACCTGCAGGGGACCTGGGGACCTCGAGAGCAGCAGTCATGCCATGGGCTCTCCAGCTGGGCCACTGGGGGTTCAGATCTCAGCCCCACGCTTGCAGACTGTGGGGCCCTTTTGCACATCAGTTTCTCATCTGTAAAATGGGCTGACAGTGGCACATGGCCCCTGCAGGGTGCTGTTAGTCTCACCAGGTCTAAAGAGCCCCTCCCCTGCCCTGAGGTCCCGGGGGCACTCAGATGGGCCCCTCTCGCCGTAGGAGTCTTCCCTGCCTGACTTGGTGCTGCAGTCGGTCCTGAAGCGAGGCCGTCCTAAGGGGTACGGCTCCTGACTTCTATGATGGCGCAGCGGAGGGCTCAGAGGTGAATGCCCACGGGAGCCCAAGCCCGGGGGCAAGGCCGCCCCATGAATAAACACACATCCGAGGCGTCCGGGGCCTGCCGCTAGGTCTTGCAGTATCAGCTTCTCCCAGTCCTGGATTGCTGGCTGGTCTGGGAGCTCCTGGGCCAGAAGGAAACTGATGGAGTCACAGCTGCAGAATCCCTCCAGGCTCCCCTCCCTTCCCACATGCACCCCTGCCTGCCGCCTCCCGTTTGGGAGCCAAACGCTATGTGGCTGACCTCCGGCTGTGGGCGAGAGTCCCCCCAGGGACAGGGCAGTGGTGCCACACGTGTCCTTGCTTTCCCCAGCCCAGTTCATACCATCCACCCAGGGCCAGCATGTGAGTGGCTGTGGCCGGGGTCCTCCACTTGTCCTGGGAGGGGTGCAGTGTTCAAGCTCCCGTCAGGAGGGGCAAAGGGCAAGCTGACCGGCGGCACTGCCTGGTGGTTATCTGACCCTGCTCTACCCAGCACCCTAGGGCCGCCCCTACATGCCTGCCTGCTGGTCTGGCCCTGCCACGCCTGTGTTCCCACCCCTCCCCGTCTTGAAGCGGCCCTTCGCGCAGCCCTTCGCTGGTGCCCAGGATCCGGTCTTTATCGCCATCTCCTGGCCAGTGAGGAAACAGCCGCGGGGAGGAAAGGGTGCGAAAGGCGGATCTGGGCAGGACAGAAGCGGCAGGGTGGTCCTGGGGCCCAGACGGGCTGTGGAGGCGGGGACCTGGCCCCAGAAGAGAGGGTACACCTAGGCGCAGTCTGGACAAACCCTGCGGGGGTGGGTGGGCGGCCGCGCTCCAATCGCGCTCACCCGGGGCTGGAGGGGGCTCTCGGCCCCTGACCTCCCCGCGTCTCCGTTTCTGCACGTTCACGTCCCGCCCCCCAGTCCAGACTCTCTTCCCTGGGAAGCCTGCGGGTCTCCGAGGAGGCCTCCTTCCACCACACCTGCCCACAGTGGCTGGCGCGGGCCACCGCCCCCCCCCCCCCCCCCAAAGGGCCCGCCGGCGGCAGCGCCGAGCCGCGCCCACGCGGGGGCAGTGTTGGCCTGGCTTTGGCGCAGCTCGGCGCGCCCGAAACTTCGCCGCTTGCTCCGGGGTCGGGAACGTTCCCCCCGCGCTGCGCTCGGGGCCTCCGTCCTCGCGGCCCTCGGACCCACGCCGGGCTGCGGGCCCCGCGGCCTCCTGGCACCTGCCGCGACCTCGCGGCCCCCAGCTCCTGTCTCCATCGCGCCGTTGGGAAACTGCTGGGTTTGCAGCCACGCGGCCTGCACAAGCCCTGGAGGCCGGTCCGTGGGGGGCGCTCGCGACGTGGACACCCCCGACACCTTCCAGGCCCTTCCCCGGGCGCGGGGCGTCACGCAAGGTCCCGGCCCCACCCCTGTTTCGGCCTCCAGCCCCCTCCCTGCCTCACCCAGGTCTCTCCATTCCCTCCTCCTGTCCTGCCTCAGGGTACACACACACACACACACACACACACACACACACACACACACGGGGACACGAGCAAGCACACACAGACGCGCCCCTGGGGACGCGCGCACGATGTAGAGAAGCTGCCCACAGCCACACACCGCAGAACGCACGGGAGGGCACAGCAGCACACCCACAGGGAGGGGCACACGCTCCCCAGAGACCCCGCACACCCCAGGTCACCCCCATGGACACCACGCACAGACGCTCATGCCATGAGGGGGCATGCACATACACAGGACACACCAGAAACCCCGCATCCTCCCGGGCTACACATACATGCACACACTCTCACAGCTGGGGTCCCCCACACCCCGGGCTGCCTGCTGACCTGGAGGCCACTGCTTCCCACTGGCCCCTGTGGCTGAACTGGGGTGGTGGAGGGGCGGGAGGGGTGGGGGTGCTGCAGTGAAGCCTGGACCCCTTTCTAGCCGTCCCTGGCTTCAGTGTCTCACCCCTCCTCGGTGACCCCAGCCCCCTCCCCAGGGTCCGTCCCCACAGGATCCTTCTCTGGGCCTATTTCCTGGGTTCCAGAGAGCAGCAGGGCTGAAGGCCAGAGAAGCCCCTTCTCCCCGAGGCTCAGACCCCCACAGCCCACCGGAGCTGTGGCTGGGAACTCTGCCCTGTTTGCATGAGGAGACTAAAGCCCAGGGAGGCCAGGGTGGTTGGAGGAAGGGGAGGCCCTGCTGGAGAGCTGTGGGGAGCCAGAACTGAGGCCGGCCTAGGGGCCCCTCACCAGCACAGCCCTGGCCCCACGCAGGCATTCTCTCCTACGCCGTCCCCCGCTCCGGGACACCGTTCCTTGTTGGGGAACAGGACTGGAGAGGTCAGGATCTTCCAAGGTCATACGGTTTCCATGTTGGAGTCAGGATCCGGACTCGGGGCACTTGAGCAGCCCTGGTCTCTGGCTGAGGCACTGCTGTGGGGCCCCCTCTGCCAGTGCAAGTGGGTCTGGGGGCCCTTCCTGCAGCCTGTGGGGCGCAGGATGAAGAGTGTCGGGGCACCGCCAGGGGGCCAGGG